ATCATCCACAGACCGATGGTCAAACTGAACGCGTTAACCGCGTTGTGGAGGACATCCTCCGAAGCGTATGCGCTGAAGCGCCGAAACGCTGGAGCACGATGCTCCGACTTGTTGAGTTTGCATTGAATAATGCGGTACATGCCTCCACAGGCTTCACCCCGTTCTATGTGAGCGGCCTTGTGAATCCTCGAATCCCGCTGACGCCGCCACGTGGTGGCTCAGGGCTTGACGGGGGAGGAATAGCCGAGCGGCTTGCTGATGTCAGCCCTATTGCGGTACGCAAGCAAGTCGATGACTTTGTCTCGGCGAGACTTAGCGTTATGCGCCAGGTGCGCGACGCTATGGCCGAGAACCAAGACCTGCAAAAGGAGCATGCGGATGCTCGGTGCAGAGGAAATGTGGATAGGTTTGAGGTCGGCAACCTCGTTTTAGTAAACGCAAAAAAACCTACCTACGCACGCAGTGTCTGCCGTCTTTAAGACAAAACTAAGACCTAGGTTCATTGGACCGTTCAAGGTCGTGGCCAGGAAGGGCCTAGCGTACGCGCTTAATCTTCCAAAGAAGATGCGCACCCACCCGGTGTTTTACGTGGGCTTACTCAAGCCATACCAGGACCCGGCTCGTGTGAGCGCCGAGTCACTGGCGCCGAATCGGCAGAAAGCGGCTAGGCCGCGTGCGGGACAGCAGGTGGTGTAATCACGGAAGGCTGGGCGACAGCAAGTGGTAGAACCACGGGGATCTGGTCAACAGCATATGGTGAAGCCACATTTTGCCGAGCGAAATGCTCGAGATGCAGGAACAAGTCAAGCTGAAGATACAGCTGAGCAAATTAGTGCTCAAGGTCCGGGACCTGGTTGTGAATCAACAATAGGGCTTACAAACAGTCCACGGGGTGGAGCATATCTTCAAGACTGACCGCTTCGCGATGAACGTGGTCGTTCGCGTCAGGGACGCATGCGTCGTGAGGACGCAGACGAGTGCTGATTCGCAGCGCGGGAATCCAGCTGAGGCACGCACTCCTCCAACTCTGCTCGACGAGCACGGTGAGCCCCACTATCATGTGGAACGCCTTGTGGCTCGGCGTCGTCGCCGGGGTCGTACCCAGTACTTAGTGAAGTATCCACATTCACAGAACTCCTGGGAGTTCGAGGTACCCCTCCGTGAGGACTACCCTGAGCCTATGACCTGGCACACCCACTGCCAATAAGTCCCATGGGCTCGCGACTGCGTCGCCAAGCGCTAAGCGCTTCCAATAGTGCGGGGTGTCTACAGGTCGGTAGCTGAGCTCAGGCTCTGACCAGAGGCTGAACATCCATCTCAAGTATGAGAATCGGTGCTCGCAGCGGGAGCAGGAGGCAGATGTGCCTCGTAATGTTGGGGACGTGGTCCCGACGGAAGCGGATGCTTCGTGTTGTGTTGGACGAGGTCCAAGCACAAGCGTCCTGATTGACGCGTATTTGTTTCGAAGAAACTTGCTCAAGGAGCATAATACAATGTTGGAATTGCGCTGTTACAGCGAAGGTGGTGTGGCCTGGACGGGATTGAACCACCGACCCTTGGCTATCAAAACCAACGCTCTACCATTGAGCTACAAGGGCAATACCCGTAAACTTGTCCGTGTACGGACTATTGCTCATGGTATGAGAGGGCTGTGGCCGGGTCGAATTGAACCACCGACCTGTGGCTTTCAAAGCCAACGCTCGACCATTGAGCTCGGTGGGCGCTGCCCGTGGATCGAGTGAGTCCCAAAACCTTAGTCAAGGTATGTGGACTGTGTACTCGAGGGTGGTATCGAACCACGGACCTCACGCTTTTCAAGCGAGCGCTCGACCACTGAGCTATATGGTCGGAGCCCAAGGTTCTGGTGATCATGGAGCTCAAGGCTCTTGAGCTTGGCTCACATCAGGTTGGCAGCTCATTGAACGTGTGCCATATCAGCAGCGTGGTGCCCGGCCACGAAGGTATGTGTGGCAGCTCTCGGAGCAGGCACGACGTGCGCAAAATGGTCTGGGACCTCGTGACAACTTGATGCGCGGCGCGCTGTTGACGTTTGGCCGTGGCACGCAGGCGAAGGGTCACGCATCAGAGATGCAAAGGTGTTCGTGAGTTCGGGGAGCTGGAGTACGCAAGGATGAGGCGCAGTGCCTTCCGAGGTCTTGGCAAGACCTCGCTGAGGTACTTTCGAGAACGGGTAAGTTCTCGTTTTAGTGGGGGAGAGTGTAACGGGGTTACACGGGTGTGGCGCACACACGGGTACGGAGTACCAGAAGAGTTAACAGACTCTCAGTACATGACTCGTAGAGTTAACAGTGGCCTCAGTACATAGGCTGAAGACCACACGATATGCATTTGATTAGGTTTAACTATGCTAGATAGTTAAACATAGATAGCGGCTTGGCCGCAATAAAGATAAATAAAACACTTCTGGTTTTGAAGCATAAAAGTTATTAGTGTTCTTAATAACTTTGAGCCCTGGTTCTTGGGCTGTAAGTTTCCTTCGGATAAGGAACTTGGTTTTAGGGACTCTTTGAGTCGTATGTCTTCCTCTGACGCTTAGCTACGGCAGCCCCGCTGCAAAGTTGACCTAGTTACTGCGTGTCGTTCAGGTCTATTACGCTACCGCAACGGTAGAGGACTATTCGCCACGTCTGCCGATCAAGCATTTATGAATCACCAGCGAGTGTTCATGCACTCACTTCGTCTAGACGACATTCTGACACAACCACCCTCTTCAAAACTCCCATCACCGTATACTGTGTTCCAATGTCGGACTCAACCCGAAGAAGCTAATGCAGATCGCCTGCCAACCAACGAACACAGCTGCAAATCGATCTCATCACGGCCATCCGAAACGCCAACTATGTCGTTAACACAGAGATGATAACGTGTTGTGTATGCTTAGCGATTTTGCTGCTTGTGTCTGCGATTGAATTCTCTCATTCTCTAAGAACGATATGAGAACGCGCTTGGAGCCAAGTAAAACAACAAGCAGCACTGGAAAATTATTGCCTATCGTGGCAACCAAGAATCCACGTAGCCATGTCAATCCACTACATTCACATTCATCTTCAGAGTTAGCCGAAATCATACAATCCGATACAGGAACAGACCATGATACTGGTCTGCCATCATCTACATCTTCAGAGCGTCCACTGCTTGAGCCTTTACCTGTCATACATGGATCTGCCCCCCCCCCCCCTTGACGCCTTAATGAGTTAGCTTGTATAGTATAATATAGCATAGCCAGGTTAAAAGTGTCCGATCACGAAAGGGTTAAAATACAAAGCTTGTGCACACAACGAATGTGGCTGTTTATCGGAGCTTAGTTTGCTTAAAGTTCAGTGCCACTCAGTGTATTTCCAGAAGCTTGGAGAACTTCCTGAATGTCAATGTCGCGAGGGGAACTTGACAAGCCAGGATTGATTCCGGTGGGAATAGACTTAAACGTATGGCTGAATTCACAATAGAACTGTGAGACACAGAACAGGGTGATACAAATCTATCCTTGATGCAGGACAGGATGCTGGATGGAATTGATGGACCACGTCTCGACCGATGACTGTAGACTCGCCAAATGCTGGCTCCAGTACACAGATGCGGCAGCTCACGCTTAGTTGTGGAGTTCCCACCAATGAGGGTCGAAGTGGCGAGGGGTCAAATGGTTTTACTTTTCGACTCGGTATTTGAATGATCTCATGTATATGGACCTCCCTGGGCAGCTCTAAAAGAGGCCCGGGCATTGGCCACGATCTAAGTGGCTGATTACAACAGATCGAACCTCTTCCCACAAGTATGTGTTTGGTTTAGCACCCAGACTGTGCCCACACGGTCACTGATGCAAAGCGGTTTCCACGGAGTATGCCTCTGTGCAAGCTGTCCCGCCGACGAGGCTACAGCATGATGTAAGCTTGGCTACACCGAATGCAAATCGCGTCATCTGTCATGTGACCAGATCTTACACTTTGCGTAAATATTTCTACAAAGGGGCAACACTAAGAAGTGCCATTTGGAAGGAGAGCCATTTCAACAGAAAGGGCAGGCAGGCCCGTTTTTAGGTCAAAAGATGTTTTGCAGACATCTGATGATTTCTTTCAGAATCCAAACCATCCAACAGATTGTACAGATTTTTACTATACTAAAACTAAATTACAACCAAGCGTGTCCGTTGCACGCCGGCGTGTCAGCTGCAGAATCCATTAAAGTAGATTTGAATGAGCCTACATACAAAAATCCAGTTGTTGTGAAAGCGTGTCCGATGCGCACAGATGCGTCCGCTGCATTTATGAAATGGCGCCCAAGCCAAACACTCCTAGCCTGCGGTTACATCGTGGCGGACCTCGGTCTACCTGTAGCAATGGTCGACAAACTACTGTCTAAGGCCAAGGCTAGGACCTACGAACCTGTTTTTAAGACGGTGGGTGGGGATGAGGACGGCGGTCTTCTTCAGCTCAAACTCTTCTTCAGTGACTGCATCTACGGCAGCGTAGTATAAGGCCAGGAAAGCACCCGTTTGTAAGGTATTTTCAAACTTTGGTTGACCTGGAGCCGGGCTCAGGACAGGTACTTGTCCCAGCACTTGACGTGCTTTGCTGATGGCATTCTTGTTCATGTGCCACCTACAAATGAGTACAGATATACCTTCTAATACGCTATCTAGAGCATCGAAGAGAGATTCATCGACGCCAGTTTTCTGTCGGTGAGTAACACGCAAGGCAGAGCAAATTCTATTTCATCCAAGAAAGTCCGAAAAGTATCCATTGCCCAGAAATAGTCTTGTTCCTTCTCTCTCAGTAACCAGCACTGTGCAACGGGAAGAACCGTGTTAAACCCCGTCAAAGCTATTATGTTTAATAACGGTAGCTTGTATTTGTTGGGTTTGTATGTGCAATCCATTCCAATTACATCGCAATGTCGCCGAAACAGAGCAAGGGTTCCAGGGTGAGCCCAAAACATGTACAGCAGTCGCTGCGAGTCGGGTTCAACCTCCCATCGGTAGTAGAACCCATCTGCTGAAGGCGCTTCAAGAGTAGTTCCATGGCGGTGCGAGTCGACAGTTCACTCCTACGAGAATTGCTCCTAATGTTGGCAATATCTTGCAGAATCACGAAAGAGCTGGGGTCCATCTGCATTAAACTAGCTCGTACACGCCCGGTTGTGATTCCAACTGCTGTCTGTGATTCGACAATTGCTTGTAGTGATGAAGCCGCCTCTTGCTCATTTACAGCAGTAGCAGCACGTTGCCGGTGACCTGGATGAACTCGAGCGTCCTCTGAAGGAGGATGTTGGGTAGGCGACTGCCGTTGCGTGTGTGCACAATTTGCCATGGACCGACAGGAGTGCTAGCATCCACGGCCCGTGCGATAATCTTCATGGGGCATCCAATGCCCATTGAACCTCGCATTGGTCGTTGTCGGCCTTCGGCGTTCAAACGTTGAGTACACTTTGGTTTTCCCCCTCGGTCGCAATCTAACCCTCGCTTCCAGGCCACTTTCGGTGTCGCTATCGTGTAGAAAGCTCGCCGTTTAGTTACGTTGAACCCATGATCCCTCCTCCAGTTGTGCAAGGCTGCAAACGCTTCCTCTTCGGATGCATAAGAGTTTTCTGGCGGAGGTGAGATTTCCACTAACCACCGGGTTGAATTGATGCCCTCATCATTGACGACAGTGCTGTCAATCAAATAGCGCTGCGAGCCTTGAACGCTTGGAAGCGGTAGACAATCAGCTTGCGTGCCCCCGGCACTGGTAAAGTCTGCCTCATAATTTTGCTGTTCAGGTGCAGCAGTAGATGGGTCGTCTAGCAAAGGCGGAAGGTCTTCAAGAGCTGTACTTACCGCCGATGGTGTGGTGTAGTCACCAAGGGGAGGGAGGTCTTGGATTCTTTCGCTTCGAGGATCAGCGTTGAGCAACAATGACAGATCCGTAGTTTTTGTTGAAAGTTAGGGGTTGAGCTGGGGAGGCTTCAAGCTGTCTTCACCCGGCGGCGACTCGTAAAGTGACGTAAATAAATGTTATGCATAAGGACAGACTGAAATGCTACGTCTTCTGTGTTCTTACGTGGTAAGATGCAATGGTAAATTGGTCATATTTTGCTGGAGTACGACCTCTGCAACGGACACGGTCCTATTCATCTTATGTTTTGTATCTATCTACTTGAAGTCGAACAATGCCTGAGTGTCGTTTTTCTGTCTGACAAGTCGTCCTTTCTGTTGAAATGGCTCTCCTTCCAAATGGCCCTCCTTAATTTTGCCCTCTACAAAGATGTGTTGCAAATTTAGAGATTTTAATATCAACCAGATCATACCCATTCTAACCAGACCTAAACTTCCACCATGTTTTACATGCTAATGTTATCGTGATTTCACTGGGTTTCAACAATTGCCACCGTTCGTGCTTCAACTGTAGAGTACATGATAGATGATTTCACGGGCATCTGTCTGGCAAGTATTCATAAAATTTGACAGACCAAGAGCTGGAGTGTCAGCTGTGATTTCTCCTAGAACGTGTCGGAACTTGCTGGCAATGTTTTGTTCATGTGCCACCTGCTTATCAAAGCGGAAACCTTGGATTACTGTACGGACTGCATTCATTGACGCTAAATCCCTATCAGTAAGGGTAACACTTGTGAATATGGCATCCACGCCGAGAAAAAAAGCTGAAGTATTGACATAGCCCACAAGGCCTGCTTCCTTTCATGGTTAGCGCTAAGCAAGTGGCAGTACCAGTCAGCGATAGAATATTGAGAAGAGGGAGATTGTATTTAATGGTCTTGTAAGTATAGTCCATTGCGATGACCTTGGTGTGGCAGTGGTACTCCATTAGCGTCCGAGAGCCGCCCAGAGTAGCAGAAGTTGTTGCGTGCTTCATAGAAATCTTTCAAATTTGGACAGATTTGGACAACTATAGCTAGTAAAGCAACTTAATTTACTACTAATGCTAGTATTCAGGTTTGAATAAGTTGGGCAGATTTGGACACGATTGGATAAGTTTTTTTTTTTCATTTAATTTCAAGTGACTAAAGTGTTTACTCATAAGGTGTGCAGTGATTACTAGCAGGTTCGTTCCCGCTTGGCGTTGATATCTTCCTGAGTACGTAAATAAACGTGTTCGTGGTACAAGCTTGATAGATCAGCAGTGTTGGACATCATACATACATATATGTAAATACATTTTAGGCTAAACCATATCGGGCTTACTTCATATAATTTACTCGTGTATAGTGAAGATATGCAAGGTTTATTTTTTGGCCATCATGACAAGTCCTTTCAAAGAGGTATAATTGAAAGGACTTGTGAAGATGGCAACTTATTTATTTGGAATCTCAAACGAAGCCATAAGTGTTCGGATTGTACGCTAAAGTCCACATACTACTAGTATACCATAACCACATTGTACCCATGGATAAGTGTGATTCTTACGATTTTTTTTAAAGTTATAAAAAGCATTTTTGAACCGTTTTTAAACGTCGAAGCACATCGTTCGGCATTAAACAATTCGTTACTTGTATTTCACAGCCCTTGCTTCAATAGCCGGGCGACAGCTATAGCGATTTAAATCAATGGTCGTATTCATTTTGAAAATCAAATGGTTGTTTTTCACTTTTTTTTCGTCAGTGGCGCTCTTCTCCCTCTAGTATGTAGATCCAAAGTCACCCGAGCGGATGTTCATGAACTTGACGCCTGCATCCGGATTCTGAGCAAACACAGTATCTGGACTGCCGCCAGGAAACGGACAGTCGCCGCGTAGATATCCTGGTAATGCCGGATCATCTCCCGGAAAATGGCTGTCCAACCAGCTCATGTTCAAGCCATAGTCGACCCAGACACTCATGGCGAGCGTCATGCCACCAATCATGTCTCGCCCCAGCTGAGCTAGATTGCCGACATAGGCAGGGTCGTCGAAGTAGGTCTTGGATACGTTGCACATGACCTCCGTTATGGAGTCCGTGCCTTTCAACGCAGGCCACGTGCTGCTTGGGTTTGAGATGACTCGGTCGTCTTGTTTGTACAGGCGCCGAATTTCGACTAACTCGCCAGTGTCCGTATTATCGTTGGTCACAAACTGCGTGACAACTGAGAATGGACGAGTCGTGTCGATGTCGAATTGTTTTCCAGGGCCGTAGAAGTTCTGGTGGCCCATTCGGAACGGATTAAAGTCACACCCGTTCTTATCACACCAACCAGTGTAGCGAGTTTCGTCCGTGTTACCGCAGTCCTCGACAGAGAAACATCTCTGCTGGCCTTTGGTAGAGCAGGAGTGGGTTGTGTAGGCAGTAGCCATGCTGTTGGCCTCCCAAATGTCCATCTCAGTGCAGCACGAGCCGTACGAACCATTCAGGTTGGCTTCTCCGTCGACAAAGTGGAGATCTTGTCGACACTGAGCATCACAGGCACCTGTGCCGTATGCAGCACCAGCCGTGTTGCTTGGGAAGCGTGCAGAGCCTCCATCAGGATCCATCTTGACAAAGTATAGTGCTCCATTCGATCCGCACGGCAAGTTAGAGACATCGACGTCGAACGTAAACTCCTGGTTTAGCAACTGAAACTGTTTGTACTTCTTCCCCGATGCGTCAAGCATGTACACGCGGGAGCCAACACTACTCGGGGTTTGAAGTTTCAGAGACAGTTCCTGTCCGATTGCCGTGATACTGAAGTTCCCGGTGTAGTCTGCTCCTTCGAGGCCACAGATCGCAGCACATGCTGTCGGTGTCGAGCAGGTTGTCGTGTTCCACTTGTCATTCTTCACACAAGTGTTAAGCGTTCCAACAGCGTTCACATCACGCCAATTTGCATCGATCACCACTGAAGAATCTTCAGTAACACATACTGCAACTTTCGCGCCCGTTTTGCCAACTTGCTGGAGCACATCCGTGACTATCGTGCAGTGCTGCGACGGAAGAGAGGGGTGCACCTCGGGTACACGGGTGCCAGGCTGTTGAGCCGAAGACAAAGACGTGATGGCGGATACAGCAACGGCAACAAATTCAACTGTGCTGGAAAGCTTCATGATCTGGCAGGGTGGAATGATCTTTCGTTGAAGACAGGAGATTGGACAATGAAGGCAACTCGCCTATTTGCTCGCATACGAGCTACGACAACTTCACGCAGAGCTAGAGGCGTCCAGTACTCGCGGGAGATGCTAACAAACGCGGCCTATGTTTCCTGTACGTCGTGAGTAACCTACTCTTAGCACAAATTTGTGCTCGGTTATCTAGGTTTTCAATACAATGGTTACTGGATCTTGAGTTGTCCTCATGTAATCAGAGCTGACGTGAACGGGTAAGCAGTGTCGACGTGATTAGCATCTCTTTCGACAGTTCATCGGGAAGTTGTATTTCAGATAGGGATCCGTGAGCGATCGATAAGTCTGGTGAGAGGTATCTGGCGCGATGGTAGCCGCTTGCAACATGTTGATAATATCCAGGGATAGCGCATAGTGCAGTATTTTCATCGACAGAAAGCATTAACAGCTGCCCCCCCCCACGCACACACTTTCACAAAATTAACCAGCAGACTCGAGTACGAAATGAAATAGCGCTCCTTGTTGGTGCTAATGCTCCTACGTATTTCGATGTCGCCATCATAGTTTAATCGAGCACGTGCTCAGATTGTATCATGATCTTCAGGTCCGTGGAATTGCATTGGCAATACAGTCATACCTGTAGCATCGGATGTCGTTCAGCAATGACTCTGCATCTGCACCTTTCGCAATGTGGAGTATTCGATTCGAAATAATCCGTTTCAGAGTTATTACGCTATAAGCTGGCTTCGTGGCCTCCAACGCAGGGCATGGAAAAAATAATATAATACGATTATTATGGGTATTATACTGACGGAATTACTTATTATTGGTAGAAGAATATTATAATTATTACTATTGCATGGTTTGAAGCAAAACTCCAACCCTAATCTAGTGGACTTACAAAAACCAAGCTTAAATTAGCTAATTTCAATAATAATGTTATTTTTTGCACGGAATTATTTATTATTGAATGCTGGATATTATAATGCATATTATTGAAAGATATTTTTACGTATAATTAAATATTGTATTTTCCATGCTCTGCTCCAACGGAGCCCGCTTTAGATCCTCCGTTGCGTAATCCACCGTGGTCATTCATATCACTGTATGTGGCAAACTCCCGTCGATCTCAACTCACCTGTAATATTTGGACAGTTTTACAGTTTTTGTTAACATGCCATCCTCGAAATTTCAGAGCTTCTGAGTGTTCTGGCTGTACCCGGCGCTCGTTACAGACATCATCATCTCGTTGGAGCTTTTTCTGCTGCTTATCCAGAAAATGTGCGAATACAACGCGAGGTTGAAAACGTCCTAGACACTTATCCATCCGCGTGGGCTCCATTAGTAAAGCAGTGGAAAGAAGCTATGCAGCAAATATTTTTTCTTTAGACCTTGATATTCCAAAATCTGTTTATCCTTTTCGTGATTTAACACAATTCTCCAGGCGGTTTGATCGGTGAACGGCTGAGGAGAGATTTCAGCGTTCTTGCCAATAACGCTTTCGTGACCCCATGCTATCCCAGCCCGCCTCAGCCATAGTAAGTCACCCAGAAGGACCAGGAACAGACTGAAATAGGCTCAAGATGTGTTCCATACGTTGCTGGAAAATGGCCATGAATTTGCCAAATTATGGCTTCTTTTTGTAGAAAACTACAACTAACTGGAGTCAATCACACTTGCTAACATCAGCAATACCCTTCTTAATGTCGCTGTTAATCATGTGTGTTCCATGCTTGATCGCGAGCCATTTATGCTGAATCGTGGCGTTTAGCTGACATGTGTTGTACCAACGTAATTTTTCTGTAACACCTTGTTAGCTCTAATTTTTTTTTGCATTTTAGGGATAGAGTAAGTTTGATCTTACTTGTCTTCGTTTGAAGTCGTGATAGTGAACCAGAAGAACAAGAGAGCAAGCTTTCGAATTTGAGTTCTTGTGAATTGTATTTGTTAGACACTTAATTTATTGTGCTTTGCGTCAACTTTGGCTTATGAATAGCGCCTCTAAAACAACGACAAATCTATTTCGTGTATAACAAAGCAACTCTCCAGCTGCAACGCAAAGCCACAACGACAAGGCAATGCCCGGCCACTTCTTTCCCAGCTTGTTGACTGCTTGCCTGCACACTGCCCTGCTCCTTCACGGCCCAATCGGCAAATAACTAATGTTCATCCTCATTTGAAGCGGTATTCGCGTGTTCGGTATCACATTACCTCTACGACGAAACAGTAAACCCAACGAGAAATAGACCGCGTCGAGACCCCAATAACGGACGCAACGACACTTAAGTCAATGTCTTAGATGTAGGTCAGCACAATATATGTCCAACGCATGTCGATAGAAATTGTCATCTTATGTAATGCAGCTGCACGGGCTTAAGAAAGACTTAGCGTGCTCGACGTTGGTTTGGCGCTTTTACTACAGCATTCAACGAAAACACTCATACGACAACATTAACTCTTCGATTAAATGGTAATCCAACGTTAATTCGACGATTACGGTAGGTAAATCAATGTTGGATCATTATTCAAGATTTGCTAAAACATCGAGTTAGGACATCGTTTAGACAGAATGTGTGTAAAACACAATACTTCAAGTATTAATAGTACTAGGATACAAACCAATTAATAGTACTAGGATACAAATCAACTTCTCGCCAGAGGACAACAATTCTGTTAACTGCAATAGACGCGGTAGGACCAAAAATTCAATTGTATTAAGCTTGAAGCTGTGTCAGATTACACGTTAGACTGCATGTGCGTTGCGCCTCGACTTGCGCTTATTCAAGCTTGGTTCGGTCGTGCGCGGCGTCGTAGTCCACAAACGGACCATCTGCAGCAACATGGGGGGCCTTGTTCAGCATGCCGATCTTGACGTGGTTCCAGTTCACGGTGCTCTTCAGTCCAGGGATCTGGTACAGTTCGCGCAGGTAGTTTTCGATGTTGTGGTAGTCCGTCAGGTGTTTGTCCGTCTTCGGCTGGTACGTGTCCAGTCGGATGAGCGTGTGGAACAGACGCACATCGGCCTCCGTGACACCCTTGCCCACCAAGAATCTCTTCTTGGCCAACAGCTCGTCCAACTTAGCCAGCGCCTCATAAGCCTTGGTCGCCGACTCAGCCGCAGCCTCAGGCGACGGTGCGAACATTTTCTTAAAGAAATTCATGCTAATTTCAGCCACAATTCCATCGTTCGCAGCGTCAATCTCTGCACGCAGCTCCTCGGGGTACAAATGCACGTTGGACGGCACCAAGTCACGGAAACCCGAGTTCAAAGTGCGGAGGATACCCGTAGACTCCTCCGACACGATCGTGCCCAGCTTCTTGTCCCACAGCACAGGCACTGAGAACGTACGCGGCGCAGGGTCCACCTTTTCGTACAGATCACGCACGAACGTCACGTGGTTCACCGTGTCCGGCACGCAGTCGTCAGTGGGGTACGTTTCGCCATTGGCACCGACCATCGTGGGGGACTTCGCGGGGTCCACAAAGACCCAGCCCTTGTGCTCGTCATTGGGGTCGTTGGGCTTGGTCTTTTGGAAGATGGGGTGCGCCACAGAGAAAGTGATGACGTCCTCAAGACCAAGCAAGTTGCGGGCCGCAAGTGCGCGGCAGGCAAACGGACACGAGTATGTGACGTACAGGTGATAGCGGCCTTTTTCGGCGGGGAACTGGGCATCAGTGTTGGGCTCGATCTTGAAGTCGTACGGAGCGGGCTTTGGGGCGGCCATGGTGGAGAACGGAGAAAGTTTGAGTTGCTTTGAGCTCTTGGAAGAGAATCGAGAAATGAGCTTGAGCATGATTGACAAGTGACGTCACATGCTCACAGCTCTCATAGTGATCCGAGGGTACGTTATGGGTACGTTTGGGTTACGTTTACGTTTTGGGTGAATGATTGGTCAACAACCTATTAAAAAGCATGTTGAAGCATGGAAGAGAATAAAGCATGGACCAATTAAAGCGTCGAAAAGCGTGGACTCAGCAAACGGCGGGAATGATGGTCAACTTCAACTTGGACGTGTTGACGGTTGGCTTATGCGCAGCTCATCGTAAACGGACAAGTACTGTAGGACACGAGTGTGTGTGTGTGGCTTCAGAAAGGATTCTGCACACCCGCAGCATACTAGATTGTAGGCCTTGTGCAGCCAGCAATGGAGATTTGTTGATATTACATGCAGCACTACAGTGGCTAGAAGATCGGTGTTAGCAGTGAGATTAAATCCAAGTCATCGTTATTGTCGTCAAAGCGATAACACGACTATAGTCACCAATTCATAAAAACCAGAGACTTCCGTACGTCTATGGGGGTTCCACGCTATCCATGCTAGCATTGTCAAGGCCGCTACATGTACATCGTGAGAGAGAGAGAAGTCTCGAAATTAATGTAAATAGTTCATTTATAAGATGTCTTAATAAGTCTCTTAAGCCGTTATAGCGGTGCTGGTGCCTCGAGAGATGTCTTAAGCTCCTCTCGGATTGGGATGACGCTCGTGGGGGACAAGTCAACTGCTCTTTGCAGAGCAACAACCTTGTTCCTTGCAGTTTGTACGTAGATGACGCCATCCGCGTGTGCCAAGCGCCGTTAGATGCTGCATTATTGATGAACGAAGTCTGGACATTTCCCCGACCACTGTCACTTCCGCTCCTTTGGACAACATATTTGCGTTGAAGCCACAATTGTGTGATGCACGAAGTGCATATGATCTACCACAGTCGCTTCCAGTCGCGGTTTATTCCTGTGATCCCGTTTTCCTCGTTGAGAAACTGTTATTGCCGGGTCGCCGACGAAATCTCCTGTGAGGCTTGTCGTCCTGGGTGGTACAGATTAATGTGTGCAGTTGCCACTCGATAGGCCACCCAGACTATACTCTGTGAAGGCGTTCTCGTGGTTCCAAAGCGCATCTGGTGGTTGCTGTTGCACGACTAGAATCCATTCCGAGCGATCGACCAGTGACTCGAATCGTTTGATCACGGGCGGGCGTCAATGCTTGCCCCAGCTGCGCTTGGTAGTGACGAAATGGTGTTCCTTACTAAGATCTGCGCAACATGAGCATTGCAATTGCCAGCATCGACGTTCCACGGGAAACGGTGTGTTACATGTACTTCGAATGTTGTTCCGTCTCAAACTTCTGCATAAGCAATCTTGCCCCACAGCTTAGCCTACATAATATTACTAGTACTATAGCTTTCCATGAAAAGACTGAGGCCTTGCAATTGCAATCAGCAGTGATTGCATACTTCCTCGGAAAAGCTGCGTGTTGTAGTGCCACCGCGTAAACCAAAGCAAGGATCGAGCGATGATGCAGTCCGCTTGACCTTGATAATGATCGAAATGTGCCACAAGAAACTCCAGAACTCCAAGAGCTCACTTCCCAATTTCCTATCAAGACCAACCTCCTCACCACCGCTTAGCAACTATGCCCAGTCAATTTGATTCCCGCATTGAACGATCCGCTAACGCCAAATTTCCGGCTGAAAAGGGTCGATACCATCTCTACGTCATGTACTCGTGCCCCTACGCGTGTCGAGTGCTGGCAGCTCGCAACCTCAAGGGTCTTGAGGACATGGTCGGTTTGTCGGTGACGCACCTAGTAGACCAGAGGACGAGACCAGACAACGAAAACGACCAGCACATGGGCTGGACCTTCGTTGACCCGGAGAAAACACCATCAGTGACAGGCATGAACGACATGCATTACCCCACGACCGGATGCATTCCCGACACTGTTAACCATGTCAATTTCATTCGCGACTTGTACGAGATGGCCGATCCAACGTCGCGCACGTTTTCGGTGCCGGTGCTGTGGGACAAGAAGAAGCGAACCATTGTGTCTGACAGCTCGACAGACATCGTGCGCATGCTTGACTCGGCGTTCGAGGAGCTGGCGCCGTCCAAGTTTCAGCTGTACCCGGACGAGCTGGGAGGAGAAATTGATGCTAGCAACGATGGAATTGTGGCTGAGGTCAACAGGGGGTTCTTCACCCACGCGCTAGCGTCAACCACTGAGGTTGCCCAAATCAGTTTGGCCAAATTCTTCACCACCATTGCCAAGCTCGACGAAATGCTTGCTAGACAGCGATACTTGGTCGGCAACACACTTACGGAAGCAGACGTGAGCATGTTCCACACACTCATTCGTTTCGATCACATACAGAAGAAAACCAACGAGCAGCAGTTGACGCAGTTTCAGAACATCGTCGGCGTAAGGTGGCAAGAAAATGTACTAGGAAAGCTCGGGATACTGACATTTACTTTATTTTGCTTGTTGTTCAGTACCTTCGCGATATTTACCAGACGCCTGGGATCGCGAGCACAGTGAACTGGGATCACATGGAGTTTGCCAAGGTGAACCGCCTTCCGGATGCCCCAGCCTCGGAGGGGCCTTTCGTGGAATACAGCTCTCCTCACGATCGGGCTGCGCTTGCGTGAATCAGTCTGGACAATGACTCGTAATGAAACAGAGTTCACGAGAGGAGTTTATAACATAAATACGGCTTAACTAGCTCAGCTACTCTCTACGTCTTAAAATACTCTTGTCTACATATTGTTAGTTACACACTGGTGGCAAGTCGGGCAGCTCATGTTGATGTTGAGCTGCGGGATCAAGCACTCGTCGTGGAATCGATGGCCGCACTGCAGCCGCGTCGTATAGTAATACCGTCCGTCAGTAGCCTCCATGGCTTCGTCGCACAGTATACACGTCTTGGGAGCGGTGGTGGTATCTGACGTCTGGGCAACGGGAATATCAGCTTCTAAAGTGTACGTCGAGCTCGCGTCTATGAATGACGACGTCGACGTGAGGCTGCTACAAGTTCGTAAAGTCCGCTGACTACGGCTGGAGCTCGCCATGGGGTCGTCTCCTTCATCCGATGTCGACGTTAGTGAGTGTATGGAGCCTCTAGCTCGATGCTGTTGTCCGGCGAATGCCCATTGCTTAATGGGGAACTGCTGCGTGTCACCGCCGCAAACAAAATCCAACAGCGCTTCGGCCACTGCTTCTGTAAGAACACGGCACGAATGGCTGGCACGACTGAGCAGCGACGTCTGCAGTGTCTTGACGTAAGCCACGAGCGCTTCGCAGCGCTTCTGAACGAAACGGCCACTCGACGCTGAGTGGAAGAGCCGCGGCTTGGGGAAGTAGCAGGTAACGAAGCTATAGAGCCACGGGCAGGGCGCGTCGCAGCGGTGACCCACGCTGAGTGCGCGTGCCAGGCGTCGCTGGAAGACGCGGCAGTCGTCGAAGGAGTAGACGACAGCCCAGCGGCGACCTGAGGGAAGATGCTCGGCCGACAGGATGTAGCGGACATCGCGTTTGACCTTCTGCGCCGAGAAGCTGAAGGCTAATTGCTCCAGCCAGGCAACGGACAGCGGCACGTAGGCGCGGGTGCCCATTGCAGAGGTGGACGCCATGGAGGCGGCGATTGTCTATCAGGAGAAGAAATAGGCGGTGTCGGCACAGGCGGCGAATGTGCTTGTCTGCATGGATGGAAGGGCGAAAATGGCCAGAAGGACACACCTGCGTAATCTTCCCCACAGAAGAATGGTACTTGGGTTTTGTATTGGGCAAAAGTGAAGGTTTGGCCAAAAGATGGGACGTGAGAAAAAAAAAAGCATATCTGTATACCGGTAAGGTACTGTGGTTTATGTATGCTGAAAGTATCACCGATGCCTCTTCTGGGGTACAATAGAGGTTTCGAAATCCATTCTACACTGTAGAAGGGACTCGGGTCTAATACGACGATCGCTCCTTCTTCTACAAGCACAGGAGGTACGTCCCTGCTGGATCGGATATGACGGGTTAAAAACCTGTTTAATCGGATAGGCTACATCCGTGATATAGAAAGATCGGTTTGTAAGGACCCCGTCAACATTTTTTACTACCGGTACGAACCGGTAAACGTACTTACTTCGCTCGGGGTCCACCATGCCCGTTTGAAAGGATACATTTACGGTGACATCGAAGCCATAAGAGGCTACACAATCAACAGCAGCAGCAAATGTTGTTGCTGCTTTTGTTGGAGATCCAAGCGGCGCGACTATCGCAATGAAAAAATGGAGCAAATCGCTTCAGCATCGCGTGAATGGACCGCGCAGCCTTTTGGCTGATTATGTAGTCAGCAATTTTGAAACAACAAGTGAACATGCATGCCATTGTTTCCAGCGCAGGTGCGCTGAAAACAACGTGCAGAAGCCCCAACATCTGCTTTATCTTTGTTGTTTGAGTGGCCCAACAACGGCCACTCAAACAACAAAGATTAAGCAGGTTTTCCGTTGGAAAGTCTTGCAGTAGTGGATGGAGCTCTACACCACAGAGCGTCATCGGCTACCGTTGAATAATCCTCGCTGCTGTTCCGCATTTCAATTGGCTCAAAAAAGCCATTTGGCAGTCTTTCATTGGATTAAACAAATCGTATGTCGCGGAATAGGGGGACGAAAAATCCCTCGTAATCCGTCCGACCATCATTCGCCGGTTCAACGAGTAGCTCCACCAACCAACTCACTTTCGAACTACCTGCCTAGAATGCACGCGACACCAATGAAGGCAGGAAGCCTGAAGCGAGCCAAGCCACTGGCGCTTCCTGTGAGCGTGGCATGGATGGAGCACTTGGCTCTGGACATGACCACGTGCGCCAACAAAAAAATCAGCCTCGTCAAGCGCAACAACACACTTTACGAGCTGCAGCTGACGTACACGCCCGAAAAAAGCCGAAAGCCCGCATGGTGGACCGTATCGCGCACGTTCGACGAGTACCGCGCACTGCAGCGACGACTGGTCAGGGCGCTCAAGCCCGGCCACAAGTGCAATGCCGAGTGCAAGTGGCTGCTCAATGTAATCAAGAACCACTTCCCCAAGGCCTCGCTATTCTGCAAGAACTGCCCCAGTACGGTTGAGAGCCGACGACTGTCCCTACTGCGTCTCATTGCAACCGTCAAGGCCTCACTCATCAACCACGGTAACCTCGGGTGTGCCATCCTCCGCGACCAGGTTAGCAAGGAGTTTTCAACCTTCCTGCTTGCCGACTGCAAGGACGTGACTGTGCAGCAACTCAAGCGCACGGCGTCCGTCTTGACCTCGATTTCCACGGATTCCACTGAATCCACGACGTCGTCACCTGATGTGGTGATTGAGGATGAGATCACGTCGTCGATGGTGTCATTTACTTCTGACGAGGAGAATCTAGTGCTAGACTTTGAGTTCGACGACGACTTTGCCGACTTTGAGTGCGACCTGTGTGGACTCAGTCTGGATGCGCTGGAGGAGACCGCCACATCGCCCTACTGTACCACAGCCACGTTCGACTGCGGCCACCAGTACCATGACGTGTGTGTGCTGCTAGCACTTGGCGAGGAATTCAAGTGCCCACTGTGCCAGTAAAACAAGCAGGGCAATGCAGTGTTCAAATAGATGATAACTATGATAATGTAAACGACAGATGCGCAACATCAGTAGTTCCCGAACTTTTTCTGGGGCAAGCAGTAGTGTTCTCCCGCGTCGTGTACTCCGATCCAATACATTGTCGATGAAGCGCAAACCATGAGCGTCAGCATACCGTTACCGAGGGTGCACACGTATGACCATTCGACTGTCACACGTGGTGACAAAACTGCACACAGTGTCCATTAAAATGTACAGGTTTAACAAGGTAGAATACATATCCCTGTAATACCTCTGACTGAGCATCAGCCAAAAGATTAGGCCAAGCAACAGCAAGCTGTACAGCTGCGAAGGACAACTGAGTCATCATTGTTGGTCGTCGAGGCAATTGCCGTGCTCTTTATTGAAGCTGCAATGCAGCCTGCATTTCCAGAAGTCGTTTGATGGACTGAGGGTTGGAGCCATCAGCGTCTGCAGGCATCCCTATAGAAGGTGTTTGGCTTGGCCAAATATTTCAAGCTACGTATCCTTTTCCATTACCTGGAGATACAGTGATGAGTTGAACGTTTTGACACCGAATTGATGCAGCTATCACGGGTGGATACGTAGTACATGCTACCCCGAGACAAGTGGTCACTGGTATGATCGTCGCTGCCTACCCAGACAGTTGGCTTCAGTTGAACGCAACAACAAAACACTGACGTCATTTAATTTGTAGGTTTGGAATCAAACTTTGCTGTCAAATACATGGCGATGTGTCCTTCAAACACATCGTTTCCAGCTGGATTGCAAACACTGTTGACGCCGCCCTGATCGGGGCGGGACTTCACCCACATGAAAAAAATGCTTCTTCGGAATCCAGGTGCAGGAATGTATTCCATAGGAATCAAACCCAGACACCCCGTTCCAAACGTAGCTATCTTGAGACGAAAATTGTTGAGCGACGAAGTTCCTTGTCTGATCGAGAAGCTAGAAGCGCTTCTCGAAGCCGCAAGCAGGCAAACGGCCTCATCTAAAGCTAAAACGCGCCTGTCAGTGGTTCACTGGTTGCGGCTCTTGGTCGAAATCGGTGACGTTCTGGCGGCACCGCTCGACTCTGATTGGCTGAATTTCTTTGGCAGCCATCAAATGTCGCGGACAAGTCGGCCGACCGACCGGCCGACCTTCCATTACCGAATTTGCGTGGTTGCGGTCACTTCAACTCACCAGTCGAGCCAATAACGAAATCATGGGCATTTCCTCCACTGCGACAACGTGCAGCACGCCGATCATCAACTTTTCCAGCTATTACCGCAAGCGTGCGGCCTCCGTGGAGCTGCCTGAGGCCACAGCATGGCTGGAACACCTCCAGCTCGGTATGCGCGCTGTCACCAGTGCCAGCACCACGGGAACTAAAGTGCAGTATGAGATACAGGCGAGCTACACGCCGCCCTGCTGTCAGGACCCGGAGCTGGTCTGGGCTGTTAGTCACCCGTTCGAAGCCTACAGGCGCTTCCGCAAGCAGTTGCTGCGGCGTCTGCAGCCGGGCCACGTTTGCCCTGCCGAGTGCAAATGGCTCTATGCTGTAGTGAAGAATCACTTTCCCAAGCCCAAGCTGCTTGCTTCCAATTCGCCCCGCACGGTAGAGGCCAGAAGACAGGCACTCGTCCGTATGCTGCGCACGTTGCAGGCCTCGCTGGTCAACCGCGGCAATCAGGGCTGCAATGTGCTCGTACACGGGGTGTGCAGAGAGTTTGCCAACTTTATCCTGGGTGAAAATGCCAATCTACCTGAGGTGGCCATGGCACTCAGCGGCTGCAGCTCTGATCAAAGCACACGCGATTCGTCCGCGAGTTTCATGTCCAATTGCAGCGACAACGAAGATTATAGCCAGGAGATCTCACCGTTTGACGATCTTTACGGCTGCAGGAGCGGACGAGGATACTGCAAGTCCGAGTCGGGCCAATGAAGTTGGCAGACGAAAGTACAATAGCGACAACAAGATCGCTACAAGAACAGCAAGAACTTAGCATACTATTCAATAACCCAAGAAGGCACGAGCAGCTCAGGGCAGTGCAATGCAGCTCACGTTCAGGTAATGCCGTCAAACGGCAGGGAGTTTACCTGAGTTGACCCCATAGCAAAGCGCTTGGGATGGTCAATGGAATGAAGCAACCCATCGGATGCGGAACAGTGGTTGCTCTTCCGCAGACACTGAACCTGCCCGTGGAGCTGCGTGCTTCTGTGTCATATACTAACGGACGTAGTTAGAAAATCATGAGATCAATTCAGCGAATGCCATATCGTCGTAGATGAGTTGAAGTGTCCTCAAACACTTCAACATGTTGCACAGCAGAGCACAACGCGAGCGGGTTTCGGCTAATCAAAGTCACCAACACAGATGGAGGCTGTAATCACCGTCTCTTGCTTCGAACAGAGCTTGCTGTTCAGCTGTACGTGCACCTCACCACCTGGTACAGCAGCTAATGATTCTGCTGCCAAAGCTGCTGTCCTCGTAATCGGAGATCGGACTCGGGCTGGGCATCACCAGCTTTCTGCCTGTTTCTCCTTTTGGTGGTGCCACGTGATGGCATTTGTTCCCTTTATCATGGTTGGTAGCGCAACACAAGTACTGGTATCAGTACGAGCATAATGGTCTCAGGTGCGGATCGGCAGACGTGCAGGCCAAGTCCAACCCTGGCTTCTTCGCGCATGTTCCGACCACGTTCAACCTTTCCAAGGCGCGTTCGCGCGTTCATCGCTCTAAAACCACCGCTTCGTGTCTAATCGTTAGCGACCGCCGGCTGTGTCGTTCCCCCCTCATATCTGAAATACTCCCCCCTTATTCGATGCTACGAGCCATGCCGTCCCTGTCGCCGGGATCGCAGGCTTCCCCCGCCCTCAAGACCCTGTTGGACACGCCCATCGCCGAGCCCGAGATGGTCGTGTGGCTGCGAGACCTCACGCTGGCCATGAGCATCCGCCACAAGCCCATGCAGGACGTCAGCTTCGAACTCACGGTGCGTAGGAAGCACCCAAAAGCTCCGCTATCGATCGAAGCGGCCTCGTGGACCCAGAGCCGCCCATTTAGCGACTACTGCACGCTTCGCAAGAATCTGCTCCGCGAGCTGCAGCCAGGACACAGCTGCTCGGCCGAGTGCAAATGGCTCTATAACGTCGTGAAGCAGCATTTCCCAAAGACCCAGCCGAAATTCGCGCCTTGCGCGTACAAGACCGACCGACAGAGAGTAGGCCTACTCCGAGCGTTGACCACGATCCAGTCAACGCTAGTGACTCATGGCAACCGTGGCTGCAAGATTCTAATGGGAGGCGTACTCAACACCTTCTCGGCGTTCCTAGCATGTGACCGCTCGTCCGTTTCGCGAACATCCCTCGCACTACCAGTGCCCTATCGTCAGGGGCTTATCAGTCTGCCTAATAGTTTAGGGAGAAAACTTGCGAGTCTTCGGACTCTGTCACGCGTCCGCAGATAAGTAGGCAAAGGAACCTCTTTGTATCCTGTAGATAGCATCAAAACAAGTCCTGGTAAAGTGAACGAAGCAAACCTGGACAACCAGGAGTAACTCATGTATCAATGAAATCATTATACGCACGCTTGAAGTTGCTCCATAGCGGTTCAAATCGCTTCAACCCTGGGTTGAAGCATCAGGTGACCCCAACTTTGCCACGAGATTCAAAATCCACTACACACGTACATGTATCCGATATAAATTGTAGAACGATGACGAGTATTATAACATAGCGACATGAAGTATACTACCCCGTCGACTATTCATGATTTCTTAGCCGTGATCGGATCAGGCTCCGAGTTGACGCACAACATACATTCGCAGTTGTATGAACTTGGTGTTCTGAGTAATACATGGAGTTCTACTTCGAAGTGCATGCTAGTTCTTTTTTTATTGGAGCTGTTCCTGAGGCGGGTAAACCAGCACGGCGCTGGATGCTGAGCACCCGGCTGCTGTAAAGGTTTGATAACGGGTTCGTCGTGCGATTCCGTTGAGGACTCGAAGGACGTGGCAGCGAAGCTGTAGGAAGCTCGCAAGGATGCCGGCCTATCGCATCGTGTTGACTGTCCGTATTACGAGCACGCGTGCCAAGCGCTGCTTGAGTCCCATCAACTGGAATTGATCCAGATCGTGTGTGCCGCGGCATTTGGTGGATTTGCCGCTATCCAGCGAGTGAAGTTCTCGCTTGGGCGTCAACACGCTGTTGTATTCCACCGAGAGAAAAAATCGCTGCTCAGCGCTTACGGCCGTGGCTGGCTATGTGCATAATCGCTGGAGCTGCAGGCCACCGGTTGTCCAATTGGTACGCGCCAGCAGTTAATAAATCGGCAGTTAGAGCCGAGCCGTGCCGCGCCTCAACTCGACCAGACCATTTCAGAACTCGCCGTACAGTGCGATGACCTCCCCGACCACAATGACAGCCCCACCAGCAGCTCCACCAAAGTACAACTCGTTTGCGTCGCGCAAGCGGTCCTCGCCGGCCGTCAAGCCGCTGCCCGAGGACGTGGCGTGGCTAAAGGACATCAAGCTCGAGATGACGACAACCAACTCAATCCGCGCCGCTGTGAAGTACAACCTGCGTGTGGACTACCACCCAGCGGGCTTCACCGCCACGCACTGGGACGCCAAGCGTACGTTCGACCAGTACAAGGCGTTCCAGAAGCGTCTGGTAAACCAGCTCCAGCCCAAGCACAGCTGCAAGGCAGAGTGCCGCTGGCTCTACAACACTGTCAAGAAGCACTTCCCAAAGCCGACGCTGCTAGGCTCACACTGTCCGCCGATCGTCGACCAGCGGCGCAAGGCGTTGCTACAGCTACTGATGACGGTACAAGCTTCCGTGGTGAACCACGGCAACCGCAACTGCAAGGTTATGATGGAAGCTGTGAGCCAAGAGCTCGCTATGTTCCTCGTAGGAGACGAAAACCGGAGCGCCGACGGCGTGACGCCACCGGTGACACCAACCACAGCCTCGGAGCTGGAGACACCCGCCAACTCACTACCGTCTTTCATCTCATCGGATGAAGGCGAGGACGAGGACGAAGACACAGTTAACTACGACGACGACTTGTTCACAGGCTGGAGCTTGCCGATGGAGCACCTCACTCTCGACCGCACCATGAGCTCTCCCGTATAAGCCTCGTATCTAGTATTTACCTAAAAACTATCAAACACGTAACTTATGTAGCCGTCACGACAAGAATATTCACTGTTTCTGGATTTTGCTATCTCATGGGCGTTTGACTCTTCTTAGGATCCGGATGCCATGTATGACGTGGCGATTCCTAGAGCTGGTCGCAACACGCGCCAAAGACAAGCTTGTGTGCACGATTCCTCGGCGGGATGGTGCTGTGTCGCGAGGAATGAATGCGTGTTGATAGTGCAGGTTGTTGCACTCGTTTCGTCGCCGTTGGCGATGCTAGCCTCCAGATGGACGGGTGTTGCCACCACCACGTGGAGTAGTGTTCGCTGGATTTTCAAGCTCACATCGAGTAAGGACCTCAGAGGTACTGCCAAGACCGGCATCGTCTCAAGTCCGAGCCCACGAACGACCAACAATCGCGCGAAGTTCAAGCTTGAAGCGGCCGAAGCCATCCATCCGCTTGTTTTACTCGAACCACGTCGGTACAACGTGTAACGCGAAGGTAGGAACACGGCGTTGTTGCCGTCGTACGTTACGGCGGACAAGGCAACAAGATGGGGCCAAAGATTCGGAGCTCTCCGGAGCGGAGACTGGCAAAGAAGGACGTTGTCGGTGCGAATTGGTCGGAGCCACGTCAGCGCGCCGTTCTTGACAGGAATCTTGTGGCGCGCACTGCAAGTCGCTGGCTCCGTCTCTCGCCTAGCTCGTCGACGATTTCGTCCGCTCGTGCAGCCAAAGCAACGGCCATGTTGATGCTGTCCACCGGCATGATGACTGGACGCGGAAGCGGAGCCAAGAATTCCGATAAACTGTAGTGGCAACATGCAACTTAGGCACTGATGTCTTACGGCTTACGGATTAAGAAGAATTTTTTTGCAGGTTAGTTGCGCTTACACCTGAGGATCATTTTGAAGTCCTACAAGTTTCTCTTCCATTGATTGCGTTCGTTTTTGGGTACAAGAAATCCTCACATACAAAACGCGAGTGACTTCTGGTCGTTACACTTTAATTGTCCAATCGCGTGAAGCCATTCCGACCCTATTCTATCGTTCAACGACCGGACAGGCTCGAAGTTTGGGTCATTCTACAATCTGGTCTTGACAGAAGAGAGCGTTATCCAGGCAGAAGGATCTAGCAACCCTCGCAACAGCAGAACTCAATTCTAGGCAGAGCACAACAGGCAACGCACCCATGGTGGGCACTATGATCGAGAACTCGAGCAGTAGTACCGCCAGTAGCAGCAGCACCAGCAGTGGTTGTGCCGGCGCGGCGCCCCGCTCGGCCGCCTGCCTCAAGCGCGCCGGACCCTTTGCCGTTCCCGAAGCCGTAGCGTGGCTGGACCATGTGACTCTGGAGCTTAATACAGACACCACAGGCGGCAAGACGCAATATCAACTCACTATGAAGTACACGCCCAACCAGCAGAAGCTCGAATCTTGCGCCTCATGGACCGTCAGTCGCAGCTTCGATGAGTACAGGGCCTTCCAGAAGCGCTTGCTTAAGCGCATGCAGCACGGCCACTCGTGTGGCGCCGAGTGCAAGTGGCTATACAAAGTGGTCAAGCACTATTTCCCACAGAAGTCGCTCTTCTGCAACAATTGCCCAAAAGTGGTGGCGGCTCGGCAACAGACTCTTATCCGCTGTCTAACCACAGTGCAAGCCTCACTTGTGAACCGTGGCAACCACAGCTGCCGCGTGCTTGTACATGACATGGCGGCCGAGTTCAATCGCTTCGTGGCTAAAGGCATGAAGGATATGGAGGCGAACGCCATCACGGACGACTCGGCGTCGTCGGAACTCAGTGCCATCACACGCGACTCACTAGATTCGCTCGACTCGGAGAGCGAGGATGACAGTGACTCAGAGGATGAAGAGGAAGAGGAGGAGAGCGACTGTGACGCCTGCCACAGTCGACACGTCGTATGCCGCACGCACAGCAACCTCAAGGCATGAAGTCGAGCAGAGAGCAGAGGGAGAAGTTGTAAACTAGATTTTAGGCGTCAATTAGCAATTCAGGGTAAAATCAACGGAGACTTTCGCCATTGCAGCTACGGTAGTCGCGCCAATACACTGCGACATGAGAGGATACACTCGTGTTGATGAAGATTACGACCTGAGCAGTTTACCACGCCTTCTCCATTGACGGCCATTGTCGCAGTTCCTCGCATGATAATGGCGATGTACCCATTGCCAGTCGTAACGGAAACGGATATTTGTACCCATGCATCGCTTTTAGCACGTTTCACTGAAGAGACACCCATTTTCACACTTCCAGCAGCCATGGTGGGCTCTCGTCGCGTGCGGAGGCGCTCCGTGTCGGCTTGTCCTCTTCTCCCGACGTACGTGGCGCTGCTGGAGCCACTTCAACTGAGACTGCAATCCGCTCGCGACAACAAACGCCCTCTCTTCATCCTGCAAGTCCAACGACGCAGCAGTTCAAACAACGACAGACTCAGCTCGACAGGCAGCAACAATTCATGGAGTTCGCCACGTCCGTTTGAGGACTTCGAGGCGCTGCAGAAGCGAATGATACTCGCATTGCAACACGGCCACTTTTGCAACGCAGGCTGTCCCTGGCTCTTTTCGTTTTTGACAAGCGAGTTCCCAAAAAAGCACATTTTCCAGCGGAATTTCAGCCCGAAAACCGTCGAAACGCGAAGAGGAAAGCTGCTGGAGATGCTGACGTCCACGCTCGAGTTTCTACTGGACAGGAAAAATCACGCGTGTACTGTTGCGACGACCGACGTGGCCAAGCTCTTGGCTGAGTTTCTCTACGGCGAAGATGCCGTCGCACACTGCATTGTGGACTCCTACTCCGAATCGGATTCCGCCAGTTACAATAATAGTCAACGCCAGAGCATCAGTGTTTCATGCGGGAACGAGGACTTGTCTAGTCACGATAGCAGCGGAGAGCTGAGTACTTGCGGTGTCTGCAACGGGTCCTTGGCTGGACAAGCGAACAACAAACCGAAAGTCAGCCCCGTCAATTCCAGTAGTCGCCGTCGATCCTCCGTCTACGCAACAGTGTTGCAGTGCGGCCACCAGTTTCACGACGAGTGCATCGTGCCTGTGCTGAACGAGACGCTGCGCTGCCCGACCTGCCACCACTTAGAGATCCAGTAGTGGCTATGGCAGAGTATTGTATCTAAACTAGAGAACCCAAATGCTTACCGCCGCAGCCAGACAAAGGGAATCCCAGTGGTAATCACGTTCAGCTTCAGTTTGACATGATCAAAGCACAATATCCAGCAACCCAAGTGTTCGAGGATTCACATGGCGCTAATCAACCAGTTTAACCTGATTACACCAAAAGGGCAAGCTTCATGTTCACTCTGCATCATACTGCAAATCGCGTCCAATACTTTCACCCAAATAGACCTGAGATTGCTGCAATCTGAATGTCCTAAATGGCCGCATAATCCAGCGGACAAGCACACAACCAATGGTCTCACGTGGCAACACCAGTTGTCCATTGCCCAATTTGCCTCACAGCAACTACGAAACACTTTGACTGTACCCCACTACCTCTACCATCCAGAATGATATCCCCACAACCGCCCCGAATGATGTCTTCCAGTTCCAGCATGTCCATGGGCTCACGTCGCCGTCGTCGTCGTCGTGCCACCGTTGCTGGTCCTCCGGGCACGCCGGCTAAGAGCCCCCTCCCTTCTCCGACGTCGTTCCGTCCTTCGACCATCGCCTACCTCGACCAGTTCGAGTTGACTATGACAGCGTCGAAAGTTAAGCTCAATCACGGCAAAGACGTTCGCTACAATTTGGTAGTGACCCCCACGAGCGACAGCAGTCAGCAGTGGACTGTGAGTCGCTCGTTCAAGGAGCTACAGGAATTCCAGCTCAAGCTGCTCGAAGCCATGCAACTCGGCCACTTGTGCCACGCCGGATGTCCATATCTGTATTCGAGCATCAAAGGCCGTTTCCCGAAGGAATGCTACTTGTATTCGTCCAGCTCGTACGTCATGGGCAAGCGGCGCCAAGCCATCGAGGAGTGTTTCACTACGCTCTTCGAAGCGCTACGCAAGCGTGAGAACCACTCGTCTTGCAGCATTCTACCGGGCACCGTGGCACAGGAATTTATTGCGTTCCTCAACGAGGAATTGCCGATTGATCACGAGTTCCGTTGGGAGAACTTCGTGAGCTTTTCCAAGTCGCCCAGCAGCAGCTCGACCTGGTACACGGACGGTAGTAGTCGCAGTATTTCCACTCCCACCGGTCTCTCCAGATGCTGGATGTCGAGCAGCGACAACAGCATCGAGTCGTTCCGCTCCGCCGGCAGCAACAACAGTATGCTGGACATGTGCGGGTTGTGCACTAGCGACGACGCGGCAAAGGGGGCTTTAACCACGCTTAATTGCGGCCACCGATTTCACGACGAGTGCGTCGTGGCCAAACTCAACGAGACGTTGGCGTGCCCAACCTGCGGCCAAAAGCTCTGAGCTGAACCGTTTCATGTGTATTTACGTTTATTGCACTTTACTTTCACAATAAAAAAAAGTCTTGATGAGTCTAAACATTTCAGTCTTGGTCTTACCAGCTCTCGTTTGTTGCGGGTTTTTTTTTCCAGTGACACGGATGAGAGAGACCTACTTTGAGAACATCAAGTCAAACTTGCGCCTCATCCTCTAATTGGCGAACATCACACACCTGCGACGCAATTTGCAAGGCGGTGCCTAATTTGAGATACCAAGCATAAGAATGGCTAGCAAAATGACCGTTTGTGATGACGCTAGCCTCTCGAAATGGAGCTAAGGTGCTGCTGCACTCTACTCTCCATTTTGACTCGTGCTGGCGAGACCGGGACCTAGTCTCAATCACTGAAGAATGAACGCCAAACGACTTCGCAAGAAGCGGTCGTTACCCACCGGACCGATGCCGCCTCAAGTGGCGTGGCTCGACAGCATTTCGATGAACGTGGCGCCACTCGTCTCCAGACCTCGAAATTCCTGCCGGATCGACTATTTGCTCACCGTGACGTGTGAAGGCCGCGATGCATCGGAATCCTCCACCTGGCACTTGGTGCGCAGCTTCGACGAGTTCCGGTTCTTCCGCAAGCGATTGACAGCAAATTTGCAGCGTGGACATTTCTGCCGCGCCGAGTGTCCGTGGCTGTACACGTTTCTAAAAAGCTACTATCCCAAGTCTCAATTGGTCGGGAATTCGCTGTCCAAAGTAGTGGAAAGACGACGGAAAAAGTTGACGCGCAGTTTGGCGACGATCCGCAGCTTCCTGTTGAATAGATCGAACCACGTTTGCCCGTTGGTGATGAAGGGCATCGCTCTGGAGTTGCTGGAGTTTGTGGTAGGAAGCCATCAAGAATCGGATCACGACAGACATGGTGAAGTTCCCGAGTGGCTACGGCAACTACTGCAAAGATGGCAGGACGGAGAACTGGATCCGGAAGAATCTACATGCTCTGAGGACACGCAGACCGATGATTCCAGTATGGATAAGGACATTTGCACGCTGTGTGATTATCCGTTGGTAGGTCATTCTCGAACAGAGGATGTGGATGGTGACCGGTGGTCCCAGCTCGCTGCAGCCGAACCGTTCACAACACTTACCTGTGGTCACAATTTCCATGACGAATGCTTGATTGGAAAGCTCAATGAAGCTCTTGAGTGCCCAACCTGTGGTCGCAAAGAGAGCTCATAAATCGATCCA